GGTACCTTCAAAAATCTGTGGTAGCAGCAACATCTCACTATTACCAAAATCCAGATGTAAAAGTCTCTCCTGAAGTCACTTATTTGTGAGATAAATTATATGAACTTAAGTAATAAGCAGGTTTCAGAAGTGATTCATGCTGCAAAGTGTCAGCAGTAAAAGACACCTCAGTAAAATTGAGAACCATGCACAGTGAGCTACTTTTGCCTTGGGAAAACCCACTTTTCCAGGTCTCCTCAAGTGCATATTCATCTCATTGCTGGTAAACTGCTGTTCTACAAATATAGCACTCCAGTAACCCTCTGCATATGTCAGCAAACAAAAAAACGTATGATTTCAAATAGCAAATGTTTAGCTACAATACCAGGGTTCCAGGCAATATAATAGATTTGATGAGAACAGGGAGTTTGAGAGAAGTTATATGTTCTGCTTGTTAACGAAAACTACCAAAACATAAGCGAGGATCCTCACGCTAGTAATTGTACTATCAGATTCTAATCACCTGATGTCTGTCAAGACATTATGAATCTGTAGTATTGCAACAGAACTGACTGATGTGCCTAGTGGAAAGGCTACGAAGGCTCACCAGGATTTCTTTTTTGGTGACAAATCACTAACAAGCAAATAGCTTGAAATCCTGAGTAAGTCTCTGAAGTTTTCTGGAACTTCAAAATATATGCAGAATTTTAAATTATTTTAAGCCAGAAATAAGATTGGTTTTGGAAAATTTCTAGAAATACCATTAACGCCAGTCAGAGTCAAAACCAACATAATGCATAAAAGAGGAACTCAAGTAGAATTTAGATGCATAGATCCAAGAATTCAAACAAGAAAAATCCCACCAGTTCAAGCACCTAAGAACAGACATATATGCTGTACTGATAGTACCTTCTTATCCCATTAGCCCACAGGTACTTCTATTGTGGCTACACTGAGTAGCTCACCACCTACTTCACACCTAAGCCTAAATATGATTCATAAAATAAGGATTCCCATATTTTAGGAACCTGATTTTTCTGATGTTCAAGCTCTGACATTATTAAACAAGTTCAGAATTTATTTAACTTCTATCAATAGCAAAAAAAACCCCCAACAAACAGAAAAAACGTCACTAGTGTCATAAGTTTTATAAAACACACAATCAAAAAAAAAAAA